CTGAGGAAGAGCAGGTGAAGATTTTTTCCCACATTGTGGGTTGTCTCTTCACACTGCTGGTGGTTTCTCTTGCTGTGCAGAAGCTTTGTAATAAGAAGAGATCCCACTTGTTGATTGTTTGTGCTAGTTCATGGCAACTGAGGTTTTGTTCATAAAATTGATAAAGATAAATTCTAATAGTGTAACACATTTACGTGTTTTCAAATAAGACTTAAGGCTTGCTAATAATAATTATATTGTGCTACAGGTACATAATTATTTTTATAGAAATCATATTTTGACCATTAACATTTGAACCAAATATAAATTTATTTTCTTCCTTTCTCTTTTAGCATTCACGTATTTTGTCTAGTGTGCATCATTTATCAAATATAACATGTTTCATAATAGCCGTAACACTTCAGTAAAATTTTATTTAAATTATCTTCTATTTAGAATTTACTAAAATTGTGTGCACTGAACACCAGTTTAAATTGCTGGAAATTAACATGAATGTTGCCTCAAGTTTTTCCCTAAAACTGCTTCAATTTTATCCCAGAAACAAGTATTAACAGTAGCCATTTTCTTTGATTTGTGATAAATGATAACTTTCCCTTAAGTTGCATTAATGGAAATGCTTGCAATGCAAAGAGGTAATTACCCTTCACCCATTCGATTGTTCCTCTATTGTAGAGGAATGAAAAGACACTCTTGTCCCTGAGGTGATAGATACAGAATTGTATTAATTTTGATTCATCCTTGAGCCTCCAAAATCATATCTCCTTTATCACTGGACTGAAGCACAAACAAGAGAATGTAAACAGAAAATACTGCCTCTTCTACAAATGCTCTTATATTACTTATTCTTTGAAAAGTCCAATATTATATAATGTATACAGGGAACATTCTACAAAATACCTTACCAGTATGCCTCAAAACTGTCAAGATCAAGATGCAAGAAAAGACTGAGAAACTGTCACAGACCAGAGAAGACTAAGAGCACCTTACTGCCAGAGAGAAGGGGCGTTGCTGGTTCCTGCTAGCCAGACACAGTTCTCCTCATTCTTCCAGTCAAGTACGACTTCTTTTGTTTGCTGTCCTCCTTGCCTCCCTGCTGCCCCACCTTTTCACCTCCCTCCTTCTTCTTACTTCTCTCTCTCTCTCTCTCATGTCTCTCCCTCTCCTCTCTCCTTCCTCCCTTCTCTTTCTTTCCCTCTCTTCCTTTCTTCTCTTTCTTTCCCTCCCTCCCTCTCTCTTCCCTTTCTCTCTCTTCTTTCTTTCTTTCTTTCTGTCTTCTATACTTGTTCGCATTTAGAAGTGCAGTCTAAGATACATAGAATGCAAAAAAAACAAAACCCAGAGAACTCACTGCCATACCATTTATTATTTATGTATAACCTTAAATTAAAACATCTTCATGGTAATTAAATCTTCTATTATTCAGTAGAGTCTCTCTTTAGTAATCATTTTTGCCTTAAATATTTTATTATAATAGGGATATATCAGATTTCTTTGGGCTAATATTTTCTTGTTATATCTGTTCCATAGTGTCAACTTTTAATGTCTTTTTGGGTATGATTTTTGGAAGCAGCATTGAGTTGAATTTTTTAAAAAATATGAATTGACTTTTTTGTCTTTTAATTGGAAAGTTGATTTTTTTGTGATTATACTTATATATATTTACATTTATTTCTCAATTTATGTGATTCCTATAATTTTCTTTTTTCTCCTTAGATTGAGTTTTCCTTTTCTTTTTCATTCACCTTCCATGTGCTCTGTTTTTTTAGTAGCTACCCTATATTGACATGCATTCTTAGTGTAGTAATCAGTTAATCATTTATACCTTGAATCCTAAGAATACAAGAACCTTAGAAGATTTGAATTCTGACTACCCCCTACCAATTCATATTTATTGTTCTTTATTTTAATTATACTTTGTTTTCTAAAACATTAGCAAGAGCCATTACTA